CTGCATTTTTTTTTTTTTTTTTTTGGCTTTTGTCTTTTTCCGTGTCCGGCAACGGATCGCAACCCTCAGTGTTGCCCCCGTACCGGACCGGGGACCGGCAACGGGATCGCAACCCTCGGTGTCGCTCCCGCGCCTCACTCAGCCAGTGAGCGGGAACCGGTCTGTACGTGGGATCCGAACCCTCGGGCAGGAGCGCCGCCGCACTTCCCAAGCGGCGCACTATCCAGTGCGCCACCGGGCCGGCCCTCAAATCTGCATTTTAACACACTCGCTGCCACCAGGTGATGATAGTTTATGCCAACACCATAGGTTTGAGCCACAAATGGACAGGACTCCTGAGCAGGGCTGCTGTGTTGCACGGAGGAGTTTGAAGTAAAAGAGACAAAAGACTAGAGTATAAAATGCATGCATTGTAAGAGTACTGCTCCTGGGTACAAACAACCTGAAGCAAGGCATGTGCAGGAGGGAAAGGGACAAGAGGGAGCTACTGGAGTTCTGTTGAGGAGATAAAACTGATAGGCTTTTGGGATGGACCAACAGAAAAGGAAAGAGACCACAAAAATTCAGGTTTCTGAAATGTTTTTGATTCATTAGTGCACAATTTTTACTTAGCCAATTCTATCTATTCCCATTTACTAATTCTTATGAGAATGCCTCTCATCTTGAATTTTACCTTGTAGTTTTGCTTTCTAGATTCTGGGTAGCTTTTCATCACAAGATCTGTAAAAATATTTTTCCCTTACTAAGTGCAGAATCAATACATATTTAACTATAGAGACAACTAAATTCAAGTCATTTATCTGATTCTGACTCCCAACAATCCCAAGAATACCAAGTGTCAAAACCATAATGGTTTGAACAAGTCTAAGTACTTATGTGCTTATGTTCTGTTTCCTTCTACTTGAAGTCATAAGGGACTTGCAACTCCTCTATCCACCAGTGCTGTTTATCACAACATATTATTGCCTGAAACTCACTGTGCAAAAGAAACTGAAAATCAGGGAGGAAAATAATTCAGCAGTAGGTTTCATATATTCTTTACATTCAGTAAGTTCTGGATAATAGTTATGGCAATGATCAATTTCTATTTGTTAAAAAGTGAAATGAAAAGAATACAATCTGTGTAGCAATCTTCACTCACAGAATTCCTCTCTGATTCAGTGAACCTCAGTAGTTATAAGACTCATGCTGAACTCTAACCCCAGCCCATCATAATTCTTATACTGTAGCATGTAAAAGACATAAAGAAAATTAGTCATAAAGACATACTATCTATTACAAAAAAGTAAAATCATTGTCAGACTGCTCTGGAAAAAAACAAGAATGCTAGAAAATAACCTCAAGTCCTGTAGTGGATTCAATTATGTCCCCCCAAAACTCAATGAAGCTTAAATTGTGTCCCCCAAGTTTTTTTTTTTTTTTTCCCTTTTTGTCTTTTTTCGTGCCCGGCAACGGATCGCAACCCTCAGTGTCACGCCCGTACCGGCGGACCAGGACCGGCCACGAGATCGCAACCCTCGGTGTTGCTCCCGCCCCTCGCTCAGCCAGTGAGCGGCCGGTAAGTCCCCCAAGTTTTATGCATAAGAAATTTAGCCCCACTGTGACCGCTTAGAGGGTAGGAAATCCTATTCTGGTAACTGAAGGGTGGAACCTTAAAGAGGTGATTGGATTGTAGGACCGTGCAGTAGAGAATGGACTTAAAATGGTGGTCAGGGGCATGGTTCTGAGGGCTTTAAAAGAAGAGGAAAGTCTGTCTCTCTCTCTCTCTCTCTCTTGCTCTCTCTGCTTCCACCATCTTGCAATGTGAGATCCCTGGGTCACTGTCGCCATCACCAGATGGACTTTGGACTTCCCAGTCTCAGAAACTGTAAGCAATAAATTTCATTTTTCTTTATAAATCACCCAGTCTCAGTATTCTGTGATAGCAACTCAAGTCCTATAATTACAGATATTTATTTTAATTTAAAAGTATTTATTCAATGTCTGTTATGTACTATACATACATACAGGAGAGGGTTTACCATTATTAAATTAAGAGTCATCATTACTGTATCTCTGCATATTTGCACAAAAGTCTTCTAGATTTAGACGAAATATTTTACCTCTCCTGCTGTGAAATCACCAAAGCCAATTTCTGGTCAGAAATTCTCAGTTTATACTCTGATCCAATATATACCAGTAGAATTATTTTCTCTTTGAGGAATACCTGCTAACTATCTGCTGAGATTGGATGCCCCCCCCCACCCAAATCTCATTGAGGCTTAAACCCCACTGTAACTGTTGAGGTTCTGAGGAAAATCCTCCTGTGGGAACTGAAAGGTTGGGCCTTGAAGAGGTGATTAGATTGTAGCACCATGCCATAGTGAATAGCTAATGGTGGTCAGAGGTGTGGTTCTGAGGACTTTAAAAGAGAACATGAAAGGTTAGTCTCTCTGTTCCACCACTTTCTGCCATGTGAGACCCCTGGTCACTGTCACCACCACCAAGACCCTCACCAGACGTGTTCCCTGGACTTTGGATTCCCAGCCTCTGAAACTACAAGCAATAAATTTCATTTTTTTATAAATCATCCAGTTCTAGACATTTTGTTATAAGCAACAGAAATGGACTAACACAGTATCATTATCCTAACATGACATTTCTCCATTTAATTGGATGTGGGTGAACTAAAAGTAGGTATAGGGGCCGGCCCAGTGGCGCACTGCTATAGTGCGCTGCTTGGGAAGCGCGGCAGCGCTCCCGCCGAGGGTTCGGATCCCACATACATACCGGCCGCTCACTGGCTGAGC